AGGGCAGTCTTGGGCTCCCCAGCTGTGCGAGCTCCTGGAGCAGGTTGGCCTCCTTCTGTCTGCTTCCTGGGGTGCAGCCTGGGTGCTTGGCGCTGGTGCGGGTGGCTTGGGCTCAGCGTGGCGCCAGGAGCCCGTGTCCCTCCGTCCCCTCTGGGGCTGGCACCTCCTGGCTGGTTCAGGAGCCACAGGGCCATGCAGTCTGGCACCTGGGCCTCCCCTTGAGGTGACTGCGGGTCCTGGTGGTGTGGGTCTGGGCCGTTCCTAGACCCTCTCAGCTCCGGGAACCTCCGTGTTCCAAGGGCCATGCTGGCAACCGCCCGCAGGCCCCACAGCTCCACTCCAGGAACCAGAGGCGGGGGTCGCAGGAGGGGCGGCTCAGTGCAGGGAAGTTGTCCATGGCCCAGGCCCAGGCCTGTTCGCGGTTCAGGCCCAGGGGCAGGGTGGGCTCTCAGTAGGGGCAGCTCAGCGCAGGGAAGTTGTCCATGGCCCAGGCCCAGGCCTGTTCACGGTTCAGGTCCCGGGGGCAGGGTGGGCTCTGGACACACACACCACATCCAAGATGGGTCTTCCAAGGTGGATGGATGCGCTTCCATGGCTTCAGCCTCCTGAGCCACAGAGAGGTGAGGTGGGTGCAGGGGAGGAGGGAATCGACAACAAGCGATTCCTGCATCTGGGTCTCAGAGGCTCGGGGGCTTTGGTACAGGGAGCAGGACCTCAGATACGCAGAGGACCGGCCCAGGTCCTGCCAGAGTCAAGGCGAGGACCCCGAGGAAACACTAATGGGACTCTGGATGCCACAACAGAGGGGACCCCACCAAGGCCCTCCCCGGCTGGTCCACAAAGGGGAGAGCCCAGGTCCTGCTGGAGTCAACCTTGGATGCAGAGGCGAGGTCCTTAGGCCTCCATCCGGCCAGGCCGGAGGCTAACAATCTCACAGCGCCCGCCCCTCCCCCACTTCCACATCTGGTAGTCCCTCCGGTCGTGACGGCCCTAGGCTATTAGTATAGATTATGAACATTTTACAAAAACAGTATTATTAAACCGATTTTAGAATCAAGAAAATTGAGGCTGAATCTATTTTGAATCTTACCTATCTGACTTAAAGTTCATTTTAATGTAATAGTCTTTATAATGGTATTTCCCTAAATGTGTTCCTCATCAGATAAAGTGTGAGACAAAAGCTCTCTGTGGTCACATCAGTGTGAGGACCGAAGTGCATTACCTGTCCCTCTTGAAGAATCACAATGCACTTAGGATATTAAAGTTTTTATGAAGGTCTGAAAAAAAGAACTTCATTTCATTTTGTTTATCTGAGTACTTCACAAACTTTAGTAGACTGTCAGAGGCTTATTATTATTATTTGTAAAACATTTAGCATTTCAGGACATACTTTGAGAAACTTTGTCTTTGAGTATATTGGGGGATCCTTATTAATCAATCAGAACTCAACTCATTTAGAATCCAAGAAATAGAAACCTTATTATATACTCTCAAGTCAATGTCAGAATGAAGGTCATGACTCATTGGGTTATGAAATAAATGAAGTGGATCCAGACCAGTATTTGGGAAAATAAACCAAAAACAGGAAACAAATAGGATAGAAAATATCAGGGATGTTGCATATATAAGTACTGAATCATGAAAGTTGTACTTGGTTACAATGGGAAAAAACATTTCTTTCTGTGGTCATGGCCAAAAGTGTCTATAAAGTTTCATGAAAGTCACATTATTGTGGCAGAAGATACAGTGATAACAAATGTCTGAACTTTGTGAAATTAACACAAAAAGGACTACTGTAATGTCATGGCTAAATATAGTATTTGTTATTACTTAGACTTGGAGAATTTTAGAGCTGAAACTTCTCATAAGGAGAAAACCAAAATAGAGTTTTAGTGACTTGTCAAGGTCAGAGAGCTGTTAGTTGGGCCTAGAACCCACTCTAACATTCTTGTCCTTGTCAATGTAAATTGATATAATGTTTATTTATGGAACATGAGTATTATTTATTTAATGAACTAGAGGCCTGGTGCACAAAATTTGTGCACGGGGGTGTGGGGGTCCCCTCAGCCCAGCCTGCACCCTTTCCAATCCAGGACCCCTCGGGGGATGTCCGACTGCCGGTTTAGGCCCCAGGATTGGGCCTAAACCGGCAGTCGGACATCCCTCACAATCCAGGACCATTGGC